CCGAACATGACCAGCCTGAATGCTGTATCCAAGGAAAACACCTTCTTGGCATTGGGAGCGAACTTCCCTCCCTTTGGTTCATACTTGCCCTCCCATCCGAAAGGAAGTTGTCTGCCAAGAAACACATTGTCAAATCGTAATGACCAAGGTGAGTCATGTCCATTCAATTGTTTGACAATGTTGATAGCCATGGCATGGTGTTTGGAGGCGTGGGGCCACAATGACGAAGGCATGTTGGCCTGAAGCAAGTTGGAACGCGCCCCTTCCAAAATAGTGCGGACTTCCCGTTCAACAACTGCGACTGCTTTGGTGGAATGTTGATACTCAAAAAAAGTCTGTTGCTTGTATCCAAGTTCTTCAATGGCATCCAACATCTCGGGAGCGTTGTCAGTGTATACAATACCAACAAGATCAGAAGTATTGATAAAATGTTTGAAAGCCTTCACGATGGAATCAGCCGTCTTGTACTCAGAAGGGTAAACGCATCGGTATTGGGTGTACACGTCTTTGATCACTAACATTGCTGTTTGGCCTTCAATTCCTTCTTCAATATCTTTAGGAATGACGCGGTCACATACAATATGATCTCCAGAACCACGCGCCAAAACATGTTGTGATCCGCCTACGCTTCACTACAAATATCACCAAAAGGATTCTTGGGTCTGCGTGTGAACTGATGCGCCCCTGATTTCGTTTCTTTACGCCCTTCTCCCCTACTACGGGAACATCCTCAAAATCACAAAGAACTTCCTCCTCCTCCGGGTGACTATCCTCTTCATCCTCCTGTTCCTCACCGGCATTGGCCAGCTTCATCCTCTTCTTCCTCCTCAGGTTCGGACTCTTTGCTTGCCATAGCAAAGCCCTGGTCGATGGTGAACTGGTGGAATCGCGCCCAGTACCTTAGGGAGGCGGTTCCTTAGTGACTCGGGAATGGAGAATGGGGTGCATGTTTCATCAATGTATGGGACCCTACCCTGAGTTTTAACACATTGTCCATCAGGTCGCAAGAAAATGAGAGTGGTATCCTTTCCCCAAGCAAAGTCATACCCCTGTTCCCAACATCTCAAACCACTTGAAACAGCTGATGGGGTGCTTTCTAGAATGCAGGGATTGAAGGATTTGCGCAACCCTGGAAGTATCACCTCTACTAGTGAAGGACATGGGTTCATTGGACTTGAAGATTTTGGTGGCTCTGTTCACAGTCTTGGAGTCTTTACCTACTATGTCGTTTTGAACTCAAGCCTGAGGTGCATACCTTCCCCATTTGGACGGAAATGTACCGGCGTGTTGTGAATAAGAGCAGAAAGCGACACCTGTTCCGGACTGCTGAGGAATGTCCCAAGACCCGCGAACGCGATACTAAGGACACCATTTTGGCAGCGGAGTCACACAGGCAGATGCTCATGTCAATGGACACTGAGGAGCCTGCGTGTGACTTCCTTTGTCATCATCCCCAGATGGCCCCGACGTCTTGCGCTGCGCGAAGTGCAGCACGGTCGCCGGTGAACAGGTGCCCTCATGTGCTCGCGTAGATGCGATGCCCCGTACAATAGGCATGGAATTCGTTTCGCTTGCAAAACACGGAAAACCGACTTGCCCGTCCAATCAAACTTCTGTGCCACCTGGCCGTTCACCACTTGCCCATTCACCGTCCCTTGCTGGCCACCTGGCCGAGACTTGGAGACTCCTCAACAAGCGAGCCGATGCCAAAGCTCAGGAACAGGCCGCCCGTCTGCGCACGAGCTCTTGATTGGAAAGTTACCTTTGATGCTGCAGTGGCCTGGTCTGCTTCGGCGCTTGACAGGCAGCGGAGTGCTTTGCGGTTCCTGAGGAACCTCAGCGCTCCTTCCACGCCCAGCTGTGATGTTCCTTCTGTTGGCTTGTCCGCTTGACGGAAGCATGAGTTGACAGTTGACATGGTTTTGCTGTCTTCGCTGCAGCAGTCACTTTGCCTTCACAGGATTTTTGCTGAACATTGAAGTCTACGGATAGGCAACTATCTACCTTTGGCGAACTTTTGTTCGTTGGGCGCTTTGCGCCTGGAACACTGCCTCCAGCCATTCATTGCAATGAACCCAGGCTGTGGCAGAGCAAGACTACACACACAATCAAACTTCTGTTTCGGATTTGGTTTCTTCCAGCAGTCCTACTCTTTCCCTTAGCGTCAGTGACTAGCGTGGTAAACTGGTCTTCCAACCTAGATGACCACAGGACAGGCTCGACGTGTTGGGAGAAACGACCTGTTCCTAGGCTTTAAATGGTGCCTAACCAACTCTGTGCCATCTTTGGAGAATTCCCAGTAGCTGTTGCTGCTCGGCAAGACAGTGCGAAACCTGTTTGAATGCATGGGCTGGCTTTTGGGCTTTTTTGCTTCTTTCCCTTTTTGTTCTTCTTGTCCTTCTTTGACTTTTTGTCTTTGGACTTTCTAACTGCGGGAGACGGACACCCCTTTGCAATTGCCCTTTGCAAAGAACCTGAAAGGTTTCCCAGATTTTCTGCCCGTATACTCAAGCTTCTTGATGAATTTCTAGAGCTGCTTCGGGAGGACGGTCTTGAAGAACTCCTTGAGCGGCTTGACCTGAAAGAGGAGCGGTCACTGGAACCAGCGCTACGCGAACACGATGACTCCTGCTAGGGGAGCGGTGATGGGCGCTAGAGTCATGCGAGTACTTGCATTTGCTACCATACTTGCATTGGCCACTTTTGGCAAACTCACAGCACTGGTTGCTGTTGACACCTTTTGTACTGCGTTTACCATAGCTTGGGCTTCGTGCGCGTTTGTCATGTGGCGCGGGGTTCGCATACTTTGCAGCGTGGGATTGCGAGATTTTCTCTCTGTTGGTCCGAAGCCTTTCTCTGTCACGACACGGTCGGACGGAGTTCCTTAGGCAACGCGGCCAGTAGTTTGGTATCTAAGGTCCTAAACTTGCCTGGTCTGCCAGCTCCGCCCAGAGCTTAGACTTGTCCTCACGGACAGCATAGACTTCAAGCGCCCACGCGAACGCGGCGTCTGGGTCGTCGGATCGCTTCGCGAACTGCGGCCCTCCAAGTACGATACCTGTCAGGACTAGGAAATTCTGGGCGCTCTATCTTATCTGCTTCTTTTGCCTTGGGTTTGTCTTGGTCTTTACTCTTAGCACCATTAAGCCCCTCTAGCAAGGCCTTTCTAATTACCTCACCCAAATCTGGTCCCTAAGGCGTTTGTACTTGAGATGCCAGACCTTCTTGTCTCCGATCGTCTTTCTTGGCCATGGTCCCTGTTAAGGGCGCGTGAACAACGAGTCGTTGGAGAAGTTGTATTGTTCCGACTTGTTTCTGTATTCCGCCCAAGGATCTGGGCTCTCAACCTTTCTCTTGTCTGTTGACGCTGATGGTTTCTCTGTAGCAGCCGCCCCTGTTCCAGAAAACATTGATGGAAAGCATGTTTTGCGTGTATTTGCGCCAGTATCCATTGTAGGTTGTACTGGAGCACCACCATGGTCTGGGGGCAAACCACCTACGGTTGCGGGGACTGAACCCTCTGTTCGTAGTGGTCCAACAGAGCAAGGTTCTTCGACTGGGAATGTTCCAGGTTTCTCCTCACGCTGGTGGTTCGGGATGAAATAGTCCTGGTTTAGTTGGACTTTCTGGCGGTGGGTGCTTGCCCAGGGCTTTGCCTGAGTTGGATAGCGCTTGCACCATTTGCCTAAGTTCATCCATTTCCTCCTTCAGCCTGGAATTGTCCTTCCTGAGTTCATTGTTGGTTTGTTCCTGGAACTCCTTGTCGAAAGTACTTTGTTGCTTGACTGCTGCCATCACATTTGTAAGCGACTTCACTTTGGCTTGCGCTAGTGCCAAGGAGCTTGCTAGTTCATCACGTTGGAACTCTAAATCAATGACTTTGCTAGCATCTTCAGCTGCAGTTGCTCTTGCATTTTCTTGTTGCCTTTGCAGCTGCCTGAAACCTAGCCTCATTTTGTTCCACATATTGTTGATGCTCTGTTTTCAAATGCTCCAAATAGCTGCTACCTTCTGAACAAGTCATTGCCAACTTGTTCCTTTCCTGAATTGCTTGCTCGTGAGCCTGTTGGGCCTGCATCAACCGGTTTTGAAAATGTTCACGTTGCTCCTCCAATGTTTCCTGCAATCTCCTTATTGCAACATTGTCCTGGGACTGAACATGTTGTCGAGCCTCTTGCTTAACTCTCTGAACGGCCGACTCTGCTGCAACCTTTGCTGTTGCAATTGACTCAATACAAATTCCTGAACCTGAGCGCCTCGAACTCTGCCTCTTGTCTTGCCTGCTCACCAAGCTGCATTTCATGCTGTTGCAGCTCTCTTCTCAACTCTGCATCCGTTACGCCTGCGTTGACGTTGACGACGTTGAGCCTTGCCGTTGCCAACGTGTTGCTTACAGTTGGCGCGCCCATTACGGCAGCTGACGGCACACCGGCTGAGGTGGCTTGCGCGGCTTCCTGTAGGGAAATATTGCCGTCGCTATTAAGCACGTGCTGGTCACTAGAATGCCTCCGAAATTGCCTGTGGTCCCATTGCTGCCAATCAATATTTGTTGTGATTCAGCAATTGCTTGTTCTGCATTTGCACCACTAGCAAAACCCGGAATAATGTCAAACCCACTGCCATAGGTGTTTGGTACAACGTCATCGTCCATAGGGTCCATAGCTCTACTCTAGCTAGCCTACGGCTGATAACCTGTATTTTACAAGATCAGCCCTGCTATCCTAGCTAGCTCCGTATTGCCGTTAAGCGGCCTTTTCTCTACCTTGAGAACGCACGCTACGGGGTCCATGGGATGAGGTGAATTTCAATTATCAAAAGAACCAAGGGATCAGGGGACCAAGAGAGGATTAGGAGACCAAAGGGCCAGGGGGACCGAGGGACCAAAGTAACCAAGGGACCAGGAAGACCGAGGGACCAAAGGACTAAGGGAACCAAGGACTATTTTTTGATGCCTATTATGTTTCTGTGATGCCTATCCCCATGCAGCTATGTTCTGGCGCGTTGGGAGCTAAGATTTGAGCAGTGTCTGGATCAAGGCCCTGCCCTACCGCCAGCTTCAACCGATCTGCGTTTGCCGCAGCAATGTCCTCAAACTGAGCTGCAAACCTGCTACTTGCCAAAGACCCAGAAAGAAAACAGTGCTTGATGCAAGCTGAAGCGGCTTTAAAGAGCGGTGAGCTGGACCCACCAGAAAGACCAATCATGGCACGATACTCGGCTCCGACATCTTGAGGGTCTGGTCGTCCTGCTGGCTGCTCAGCTGCCACCTGTTAAATGTCCACATGTTGCCACTGAAAGAAGAAACGTCACTTTGCTTTCCAAGTTGATCTAAGCCGCTGAATCCAGGTAAGCTTTTGCGAAGGCAGCCACTTTGTCTTCAGGTATGCTGGACACTTTCACCACTTCTGCGTGGCCCAGCTTTGCATAGTCTCTCGCAGGGAATTCTACATTGTGGTAGCAAACTGGCTGCTTCTTCACGAGCTGCCCTCCTGCGTAGCCTGCCATTGAAGTAATATCTCCCCCGCTGCGTCCAAGAAACTTAGACTCCCAAAGCACCATTTCTCTTTGAACATGCCAAAAGCATCCTTGGCCAAAATAGATATCAACTCCTGGCTGCCCCTCCTCTGCCCGTGCACTTTGTCCACTGACGGCAAAAAGGTAGGCCAATGCCCGGCGACGTTGGGTGGGCAGGAACGCTGCTGAAGAGATGGACAGCGCGCAAGAGATAAACAGTCCAAGACATCCCAAAATTCGGCGCAGCTTGTATCTGTGCGTTCTGGCCCGATCGCGCAAAGGACGTGCCATTGGCAGTTGTACGATTGTGGATTGCCCCTGTGATAAGACTGGGGTTTGACTAGTCTGCTTTGCGCTGCAATTAGCGGAACACAAACCCTGTGCTGTCTCTAAAGGGACTTCCTTGCTCTTGATGCCAAAAACGCATCTGACATGCCTCCCAGGTTAGCTCAGTACAACGGTATGGGCATGGTTAGTCTGCGACGCAGCTGACCACAAAACAAAACATCGAAAGCGCCTAAAGTACAACCTAGCTACTTTAGGCCATATCAAAGCAGCAGTCTGATGAGAGCCAAGTGTTCGAGCCAGGCCCAATTCATATTCCTCAGCGACCCCGACCTCCATCTGTAGTGTGTAATCGGTGCACAAGACCTTTGTGGCCACACATCCTGCTTTTGCACGAAACTATGCAAATCAAAAAACAAAAGAACAACGGCTGTCATTTTGATGATTGTCGGTTGCATCCTGCGACCGATGGTTTCTTCAAATGTCCTATAACCTCAATGGTTTTTGTTGACATCCATGCAAGTCAAATTGATTTTAGAGGTGAACATGCTGCTTGAACTACATGGTAGTCTGCATCGAAGATATCGGTAAGTTGCCATCTGACAAACCACATGTGTAACATCCGTAAAAACAGAATCAATGCAACACTTCTCAAAGCAAACTCTTTTGTGACTCGCGCAAACACACAAAGTGCTGTGGCAATGCGTGCAACAACTGGTAAACTAATGCCCAGGAACAACGGGTGAAACCAGGTCTATCAATATGTAAAAATATAAAGCGCATCATCGCAGGAATGGATGTGCTAAAACCTGCTCCGGCGTCAACCTCTCGCCGGGCTCCATTCGCAGGAGGCGCCCCACCAAGTCCTGGCCATGCAATGCGCTCAAACTCTCGTCGTTTCCGTCCGTTTTCAATTTGTTGGCTTGACGTTGAGACGTAAATCAATCCTTACACTGTTTCCGAACAAACGCTTGGATAGCAGCGTCGCATTTGAAACACCTATCCTGCCTGTGCTTCTGGTGAGCACTGTTTCAACAAAGCTCGGTCATAGTCGCCGTTGACAATCTGGGTCTCCTCCTGGTGGAAAGGGTTTTGACATGTGGGGCAGGTTGCAGTAAGAGGCTTTCCAACACCCCAACCTTCAAAAAGAAATCTACGGAAATTTTACTTTTTCTGTCTGTCCAATGTCCAGTTTGGAAATTCCTGCACTTATTCTACGCGCGACACCAGCGACACAAACTTCAGCAAACAGTCTGTATAATGCATGAACTTTCTATTGTTATTCCCGAGAGCGTCTGCGAAGGGTTCTTCGTAAAAAAACATCTGCAGAACTACATCTCATCTGCATCTTCATTTCTTCTTCTCTGCGCATCTACATTCTCACCAATACTTACCGTTGTTAAATCGTTTTTCCCGAAAGCATTGCGAAGGGTTCTTCCGGAAAATCCTTTGAACACTGACACTTCGACACTTACACTTATACACTGACACTTTCACCACACTTGCACGACAACATGAACGCTATACGTACCCCAGTGTAAGTGGAAGAGCGAAAGCAGCCAAGTGCAAAGTATGCAAGTGTCAAAGTATGCAAGTGGAAGTATGCAAGTGTAAGTATGCAAGTGATGAGTATGCAAGCATGCAATGAGTATGCAAGCATGCAATGAGTAGGCAAGTGTGAGTATGGAAAACTACCACAGGAGATGTCCTAATGAAAAAACATTTCCCCACTTTATAAATTCTCTCTTAAAGGCGGAGGGTGGGACGAACAGCGTCAGCCGAAAGTGCAACCCTCTGCGGAGATCGTGCGTGTCGAGTGCGCGGAATGCAGGCGAGAGTGCGATTTGCCGGCTGCCCGCGCAACCCTCTGCGGAGATCGTGCGCGTTGAGTGCGCGAAATGCAGGCGAGAGTGCGATTGGTGCGGTGCGCGCGCAACCCTCTGCGGAGATCGTGCG